ACTTGGTCCCCTGAGCATTGTTATGTAATCCATCTGTCCCAGCACTCTGGGTACCCTGGCACTGCCTGCTAAAGAACAGAGTCACAACGACCCTAAAAAAGTCCGCCTCATACACATTATGAGTGTAGTATCTACACTCACTGTCCACTTTATCAGCTCCACTGACCATATGGTTTCACTCGGTAGTTCTACAGTTACAGACTGTAGTCCATCTGTTTCTCTGCATACTTTGTTAGCCCCCTTTTACCCTGTTCTTCAGTGGTCAGGACCCCCATGGACCCTCACAGAGCAGGTACTATTTGGGTGGTGGATCATTCTCAGCACTGCAGTAACACTGACATGGTGGTGGTGTGTTAGTGTGTGTTGCGCTGGTCTGAGTGGATCAGACACAGCAGTGCTGCTGGAGTTTTTAAACACCTCAGTGTCACTGCTGGTGGCCCGACAAGGTAGGAGTGTCTAATAGAGTGGACAGTGAGTGGACACAGTGTTTAAAGACTCCAGCAGCACTGCTGTGTCTGATCCACTCGTACCAGCACAACACACACCAACACACCACCATCACGTCAGTGTTACTGCAGTGCTGAGAATGACCCACCACCCAAATAATACCTGCTCTGTGGGGGTCCATGGGGGTCCTGATCACTGAGGAACAGGGTAAAAGGGGGCTAACAAAGTATCAGAGAAACAGATGGACTACAGTCTGTAACTGTAGAACTACAGACTGAAACTATGCGGTCAGTGGTCCTAATAAAGGGCTCAGTGCGTGTATATATACACAGTGCTGTTTGAAAGTTCTGCTCCTCTATCGTTTTGTAAATTTCTACTTAATTGTGACCAAAAATGTGATCAGATCTTCATTTAACTGATGACAGTAGATAAAGAGAATCCAATAAATCAAATAACACAGTGATGTAGTTTTTCTCCTTTACTGAATGAAGTGATCCAACATTAAAAGTCTTAGTTGGCAAAAGTTTGTGACCACCTTGAGCAGCAAAGTCTTTAGCCAAACGGTTCCTGTAGCCGTTGATCAGCGCTGCACATTGACTTGGAGGAATCTTGGCCTGTTCCTCCTTACACAACTCCTTCAGCTCTGTTGTGTTGGTGGCCTTTCTTGCACAAACACCACACCTTCCCTTCTGCCTCGGCATTCTACTAGACTAAGGTCTGAATTCTGACTCAGCCATTCCTAAATACAACATTTGTTTTAATCATTCTTTTGAGACTAACTGGTGTTTTTAGGGTTGCTGACTTTAGGCGAGATCCACCTTCTGTTGAGGTTCAGTTGATGGATGGATGCTCTAACATTCTCCTGTAGAATTTCTCATAGCTCTATCAAACGAGGCAAGTTGTCCTGGTCCAATAGGAGGAAAACGGCCCCAAACCATTATACTGCCACCACCATGTTTCACAGTTGAGGATGAGGTGCTTATGCTAGAATGCAGTGTTCAGTTTTGCCAAACATAGCATCTTTCATTTTAGCCATAAAGATCCATTTTGACTATCTGTATCCGTCCTCATTGCATTATGTCAGTCTTCTGGCTCACCCAGGTGGTCTTTATGAAACTTTAAACAGGCAGCAGTGTTCTTCCTGAAGAGTGGTGGCTTTTTCCATGCTATCATTCCATATGTACTGTTCTTGTTCGGTGTTTGTCTGATGGTGGACTAATGAACACTGACATTAGCCAGTGTAAGAGAAGCCTGCATGTCCTTAGATGTTACCCTGGGGGTCTCTGTGATCTTCAAGAATGTTATATGCCTTAGTCTTGGATTCATTTATGTTGGATAACCAGTTCTTAGAGGAGTAACAGTGGTGTTGAATTTCCTCCATTTGTACACTATCTGCCTGACAATGGATCCAAACTCTTCAGAAAGAGTTTTGGAAGCTCCTCCTAATGAGGTCCTCAGAAATCTCCTTTTACTGAGACACGGCATGCCTAACAAACGCGTACAGTAAAGACCAGACTTTGATGGTGACGACTCAGGTTGATGTTTTTTAAGAGGGTAGGGTCAGCCTGATTATCATTCAACTGATTGACCCTAATTATCACTGATACCAAACTGACGATTCTTGAGTTTCACACACTTCTGCCAGTCAAAATATGCAATGTTGGATCACTTTGTTCAGTAAATGGATGGAAGACTATATAATTGTTTGTTTAGTTTTATTGGGTTCTTTTTATCTATAATTATGATTTAAATGAAGATCTGATCACAGTTTAAGTCAAACTTGTGTAGAAATTCACAGAACTCTAAAGGATTCACATCCTTTAAGCTCTACTGTATGTATATTAACATGTATGACAAATGGAACAATAGAAGTCAACAAAAGAATTTAGAACAAAATCATGTTACATTAATTTCTAAACTTCCAAAGTCATTTTTTTTTCCATTCTTCTGTAAAGTTGCCATTTTGGAGACACACGGCTCACACACACACACACACACACACACACACACACACACACACACACACATTTATATTGGTCATCCTATAGCAATCCTATTGGACATTCTACTGGAATCCTATTGATCATCCAATAGCAACACTGTCGGACATCCTATTGCAATCCTATTGGTCCCCTATAGAAACTCTATTGATCCCGCTAGAGCAATCCTAATGATCATCCTATAGGAATCCTATTGTACTCCTACTGGTTATCCAATAGCAATCCTATTAGACATTCTATTGGAATCCTATTGGTATCCTACAAAAATCCTATTCATCCTGCTAGAGAAATCCCATTGGACTATTAATCATCCAATAGCAATCCTGTTGGACATGCTTTTAGGGGGGAGTAGGAGATTCCGAGGTGGACAATTCTGCGCTCCCAGTTGTCATTATGACAGCGATCACCTGTTACCGTTACTGTAATACCCATGATGTGTTTGACTGTATTTCTCCCTCTGTCTGTTAGCCGTGTGTTTACAGTGTATATGAGTGAGATTCCTCCTGGAACTAATTACCGTCTGTGTCTGCCAGTTCGCGGCTCCACTCTGAGGCGGAAACGTCCTGCTGTCAGTGGAAGAGTATTTATCCAGGTAAGACTGGTCACACAGCATAAAAAAGGGTCATTCAAGGTCATAAAAAGCTGCTTCTTTATACATATGACAAAGTGCTTAAGATGTAGAATGTAGAATTAAAAATGCATGATGTTCCCTGGCTGTAAAATATATAGGATATGGCAATGCGCTTATGCGTGACCAGCGGGGGCACTTTGCTCCTACAATTTTAAATATACGGCAAAAATGGTGTCTTTTCAAGTGAAATGATCCTAAATGTTGTTAATATGTCTAACTTTTCTCAATTTGAGATGCTGTAAGCTTAGTATAAGATTATTAAACATATTTCTAGAGATTATTAACTTATTTTTAGATTTTATTTAGTGAAATGATCTCACTATACTGGCAGATAGTTTTGCTGGTTTATTTCTTACAACAAGCAAATTTATCTGCCAATATAGTGAGATCGATTCACTTACTAAAACAGGTAAGGTTGAAACAAGTAAATGATGTCTATAAATTAGTTTAATAATCTTAGAATAAGCTTACAACAATCTCAACATGAGGAATATTAGATAAAACAACTAGATTTAAGATGGCTTCACCTGACAACGTACCATTTTTTGATTTTATGTATATATACAGATGTATGCACCCGACTGAATTACATATTTTGCTGATTGGAAAACAACCAGACACAAGCTAACAGTGCTGCACCATGTAAGGTGGAATGGAACAATTCCAACAAGAAGCTGATGAATGTCCCCATCAGAGAGTGTCACCAGCAGTAAAATAATAATTAGGATATTCTGCCTCTGGTGTGCAGTGGCCTTTACAGATGTGTATATATGAGATATCAGATATCGGCATCGACCCATAATTCCCATATCAGTGCATCACTACTACATTTTTAAAAAAAACCCCGATACGTGTGGGTGATGTCTAATACGAGCAGCCTGAGTCATTCTGCAGACGACCATTAATGACATGGATGTTTCCAGATGCAACGTAACAATGCTGAAAAATGAATCTGAAAAATTGATTTCTCTTGTTAAGATATCATGTTTTGCAGTGTGTAGTTCAGAGTTGACTGGTATTAACTTGAAGAACTCTAAAGAGATTCTAAAACAGCGATCGACACATCAAAATATTATCCCACTTTACATCCTGATGCTCTTATTGGTCGTGAACTAGCATTTGGTGACTGCATCTCCACCTGAACAGATCAAATTAGCTAAATAAAGCTGCATATACAGCAAGATGAAGGAAAAATCCCAACTGAAGTCAGATTAGAGCTCTGACAGAACTCACTGCTGTGTTATGCTGTGTTCATGACCAAGTGGGGACTGGGACATTTCTGGCTTCCAAGCAGGAAAAATCTATTTTAACATCCCCCGAACTTGTAATTCCCTCTCGGAAAGTCTGAGGTCCTCAAGAGGTTCTCTGAGTTGCTAATCCATGACGTCACTTCAATTTGGCGGTGGCCACAGAACGAGAAGAAACGGTGTGTTTTAAGCTTTTTAAACAGACTTTTGAGTTTCTGTTTGTGTATGATAAGCTGTTTGCATGTGTTGATAAACACATAGTGATCATTGTGAGATTAAATCCTTCTTTGCTAAATTTTCAAACTATCTGCCATCATCTACATCCCCTCCTAATATAAATGAAGCAGCAAACTGAAAATTTGAACAAGAAGCTGATGAATGTCCTTATCAGAGTGTCACCAGCATTGAAATAATAATTAGGATAGTCTGATAGCCTAAAGCAGCGCATCCGGTGTGCAGTGGCCTTTCCATTTGAAAGATATGTACATGTAAGATGTCGGATACCGGCATCAGCCCAGAATTCCCATATCAGTTTTCCGAAAACACCCAGATACGTGTGGGCAATGTCTAATACGAGCAGCCTGAGTCACTCTGCAGACGACCATTAATAAACGGGATGTTTCCACATGTAATTTAACAATGCTGAAAGATAAATAAAACATCTGGACGCCCAGCTGTTCAAATATTGGTTTATTTTGTGATACATTGCAAATAAACATGAAACTCCCCCCCCGCAGGTGGGAAGGCATTCACTTCCATCCATCTCCTGCTGAAGATGCTGGAAATCATAAACGGGCTGAAAGAAAATGAGGCCATCACCTCTGTTCATCTCAGCAGGGCAATGCCTCATAGAGGCACCTGCTGCCCCGCCTCCTCTGCTGACCCTAATCAATAACGTAGAAGGCCGTCCATTCTGAAAGGCCATTCAAGAACGAAAACTTCACAACTCTGAAACGTGACATACTTCACTACATTCCTCAGAACCAAACAGCTGGAGGTCCCGGCCGCTCCAAAGCTTTGAGAAGCAGGAAGGATGTTCTCCAAGATGAACGAGTTACTGGCTACATTCTTCAAAAAGGAAAAAAACACAAAACAAAAGCAGTTCCAAAGAACTGACACTGTGATCGCTTTAGCTTCTTATCTATTAGGGTGCTTGGTAGCACATTTTACCCCAGTGTTCCCTGTCTGTTCCGGCCGTCCTCGCGCCAGTTGTTTACTTCAGACATTCCTTCAGCGCAGACACGATTTCGTCAGTGAGAGCGTCTCTGTTTTCCTTCGTAACCTGTGAGTAATGAAAGAAAAAACACAGGCCACACAAGTTCATTAGCACTGACCTCCACTCGGCCCCAAAACAACCACACAGCGTTAGTCAGATGGAAAGCGCTGAGGGCGAGTGTGCTGGGAGCAGAGCGTGACTCACTCCTCTCTCCCTCTGTAAGGCTGATCATAGGAGGCATGACTGTGCACAGAACCTGCGTTTACAGTATAGCGTATCGGCACCTTGGTGCCACAGAAGCACAGAAGCATGCAGTTACTGAGCTCAGTGTAGCTACGTGGAACTGTTTGTGAGCATTATTCTGACTGGAGTCAACACCACAGGCTTTCACATGCCTTTCAGCAGACGTCTGTCTGCGCGATACGCTGGTCTGGACTCACAGTGTGATAAGAAATGCTTTTTTGCCTTGTTAGTGAATTGCAAAAACGCAGGCTTGGTTTAAGCTTCCCTCCAAGATAAGGAAGTATACAGCGCAGTGCAGAAGACAGAGATCGCCCTTTATTTCATTTCCACTCCAAACAGAAAGTATATAAAATACAAGCTATTCCCTTTTTCAGGAGATGTTTCTGAGGAGATTAGATATAAGAGAATCCATCTGGATAATAAATACTGAAAAATGAAAACTACAGAGAAAACGGGACCCCTAACAACCACCTGAAACACCACCGAACCTGTTTTCATCAGATTACCACACTGAAAGCTGGGCGTACGCTACATGACTGTTAAAGTAACCAAAAACAGAGAGCATCACAAACTTTCTTCTTTATTCGGTTTCCTACTAGCTTTCGCAAAGTGGTCACTAGTCTTTCTGGGGTCCACACAAAAGAGATTGCAATCAAAATAAAACAACAACCTTTAAAATCATCCTGTATCATAAATAAAAACAAAAACAGAGACAACCAAAACTCATAAATAAGTCAAATATTCAGCAAATGAAACAATTATAGCCTGCATCGAAATCCTAAACAAAAATGTCCCCAAAAACAATCAACAGTCAAAAGTTCAGAAACAGGAATAACGTCTATTTAAGGTTCATCAAATTTTATTTTTTAGAAGAAAATCTGCTAATAATCTGTGTGATGTTGATGGTGAGCTGTTCCACGCTGAAGACGAACAGTTCGCTTCACACAGTTTGGCCTGTTTCCACTGTTCCAGCCTGTACTGCAGTGGGTTTCACCTGTAGCCGGATAACTAAACTAATTTTGCTTGCTGTAATTAATTTGTTTGATACTAGAAAATCATCTACCAACATAGAGAGATAATTTTACTTAATAAAATTACTGAAAACAAGTAAAAAATGTCTAGAAATAACCTAGACAATCTTATAATAAGTGCACAGCCATCTCAAAATAGGGTGTCTGTTTTGGCTAGAAATTAAATAAATGAAGGTCTCTTACTTTTGCACAGTGCTGTATTTACAGACCTCTTTAAAGGTATCTCTGCTTCTATAATACTACAATAAATGAAATATATAGAAAATACACTTACAGCTCCCTTAAAACATGTTAATAGATGTGTCTGTACAGAATGACACTGCACTTAACACATTTATCAACATGTAAATGTGATAAAGTGAAAAAGACAGACTTTATTTGGCTGAATAATGATCACACGTTTACTGACCATGAAGACCTTAACATCCTTCCGTGCCCGTATCTCCTCCACTAGGCCGAGGGGTTTTCCTTTAGGAACTGGGATGGTTCCCAGGATGGAGCAGGTCGAGCTGTCCAGAGTCTGTCTCACCACGCGGATAAACGACTGGCTGAACAGCTCCATCTTCCCAATCTCATCTATAACAAAGACACTCCTACCTCCCTCACCCATCTGTGAGGAGGAACACAGGACAGGAATTGACTGATTGTTTAAAATTCCTGCATAATTAAGTGGTTAAGATGTAAACAGAGTGGTTCAGAGTGGTTCAGAGTGGTTTGGTGTGAAACGCTCCGTTCTAGAGAAACTTACCGAGTCAGAATTGTTCACAGTGGTTGTGATGGCAACCAGATATCCACCTCTAAAAGCTCCCTCTGTGTAGGTTCACTGGTGGTTCTGGATAGTAAATAAAATGTCTATATTTGTGTTGTAGTCATGGCGACCCCTGGTTCCTATCACCACCACTGTAAAGAGATCTGAACCATTTCACACCAAACCACTCTGAATCACTCTGTTTATAAATTAACCACTGAGCTATGCAGAAATTTAAAAAATAGGTGGAACTCCCCTTTAGATACAGTTAGTTTGTGTTGTAGGAAATGTGACAGTTCATTAAAGCCAATGTTAATTACTTACATTTCGAAAAAGCGGCAGAACAAGATTCTCAAACGAGGAAAGATCGACAACATACTGGCCGACTCTGTATTCACGCCGTCCAGCCGGGGCTTCATTTCTGAAATCAATTAAGAAAAGAGGCTGTAGTCGGATTCCTATTTCACCATCTTCTTACTCAAACTTTCCGTTCCACCTTAAATGGTGCTGCACCTACATTTTAACACAGCCACTGTAACTGCTGCCCCAACCCATATGGAAATCTGATATAAGGCCATATGCTCACATATGTCATAAAGGGTCAGGCATAGATTTCAGAATAAATGTAAGTTTCAAATATTGGACATATATGTACAATATATGGACCATACATTTATACGCTTAATACATCCAAGTACTGTTATAATTGTTACTACTTTTTTTTGCTTTAAAATATTAAATTATTTAAATGAGAACAATATTTTCATTTATTTCATGTTTTATTGATTTTACTGCACAGCTTCTTCCAATGTGCCTGTTTAGAGTTTAGATCTGTAGCTATTATACAAACTTTCACTTCAATAGGAAGCACACCGATCAGGCGTAACATTCTGACCACCTCCTTGTTTCTGCGCTCATTGTCCATTTTATCAGCTCCACTTACTATATAGGTGCACTTTGTAGTTCTACAGTTACAGACTGTAGTCCATCTGTTTCTCTGATACTTTGTTAGCCCCCTTTTACCCTGTTCTTCAGTGGTCAGGACCCCCATGGACCCTCACAGAGCAGGTACTATTTGGATGGTGGATCATTCTCAGCACTGCAGTAACACTGACGTGGTGGTGGTGTGTAAGTGTGTGTTGTGCTGGTGCGAGTGGATCAGACACAGCAGTGCTGCTGGAGTTTTTAAACACTGTGTCCACTCACTGTCCACTCTATTAGACACTCCTACCTTGTCAGTCCACCTTGTAGATGTAAAGTCAGAGATGATAGCTCATCTGCTGCTGCACGGTTTGTGTTGGTCATCCTCTAGTCCTTCATCAGTGGTCACAGGACGCTGTTGGCTGGATGTTTTTGGGTGGTGGACTATTCTCAGTCCAGCAGCGACACTGAGGTGTTTAAAAACTCCAGCAGCACTGGCTATCTCTGATCCACTCGGATACATATAGCATGAAGCTAGCATATATGAGTAAAATATGCCATCCATGTATGAATAATGCTTTCTATCTCATATTGCTAAAGATGCGTTTCACATATATGTTTGTATCTGTTGATAAATTGCTAAAATACAATGTTACATTTTTGAAAATGGCCAGTTTTAAATAAGTTGATGCCACATATATGTCCACATATGACAGAAGTTGGATAAAAGGAAAAATCTATATATACTAATATTGTCATATATCAGATTTCTGTATGGGATTTAAGGTGGAATGTAAATTTGAATAACTTCAGCAGTGTAAACGAGGTAGCTGGAGAGTCACACTGCGAGAGGCTATCAGGCACAGTGGGATACCCGACTCTGGACAGGGCTCCTCTCTCTCCGGCTAGGGTCACCACATCGAAGCCCACTCTCCTCCCTCTCTCTCTCAGCTCCTCTGTGTAGAAGCCTTGGAGGCTCACCCCACCAGAGACCATAGACTCGCAGACCTTCTGCACTAGGGTGGTCTTTCCCACTCCTGAGGACGGAGAACCACATCATTGAGCTCATCAACAAGGGTAAACTGCACTTTCTGTGAGTTTATTTATCTGCATCACTCCTTAAATAGACAGTTCTTCAAGGGTTCTTTAGTAAATGCAATGGTTCTATCTATATAGAACAATTTGCATGCTCAAATAGTTCCTTGCATGACAAAATGGTTCTTCAGACTGATGGAGAATGTGTTGTTTATGGTTTTATATAGAACATTTTTGAAAATGGTTCTATGTAGCACCAAAAAAGGGTTCCGATGTCAAGCTTGTATACAACAAATTAACCCTTTTTGGTGCTACACAGAACCATTTTCAAGGTTCAACACACTCTCCATCAATATAAAGAACCATTTCACCATGCAAATTCCTCTTTGAGGGTTCTATATAGAACCATGAACAACGTCTTTATTAAGAACCCTTAAAGAACCATCTTTTTAAGAGACTTTATACAGTCAGTTTTATGCTTAAATGGTTCTTTTCATGGTGAAATGGTTCTTCATACTGATGGAGAATGTGTGGAACCTTTTTAAAAATGGTTCTATATAAGTTAGCACCATACAACACATTCTCTAGTTATCAGTCTGAAGAATGACTTCACAATGCACTGAACCACAAGGTTCTTTATAGAACTTACGCTTCTAAACAGAACCACTGGCTTCATTAGAGAACCCTAAACACCTATGTAGATGTTATATGAGGTTATAAGCTGATTTATATCACTCCTCATCACCATCATGTACTCAGTAATGCTCCTTTATCCTTAGATCGCTGACTGGCTTCTCGTTCGAACTCTCCGTTCCACCTTAAATGGTGCAGCAGCTACATTCTTTGTTTTCGCCACCAGGTAGCTTTATACAAGACTTAAATTAGCTTCTTCTTCGAATTTTCCGTTCCACCTTAAATAGTATGGCACGTACTCGCTGCTTTCAGAATGAAACCGCGGCACCATTTAAGGTGGAACGGAAAGTTCTCTGTCGAACACGCAGCAGCTGAATAATGTCCGCGAGCGCTTTAAACCCTCTTAGACCGAGTTCCGCGCCGCCTGTGCAGCGTTTATCCCGGGTTTCAGTGTTTATCCCGTGTTTATCCCGGGTTTCAGTGTTTGTACCTGGAGAGCCTGTTAAGAAAACGTGCTTCAGCATAGCAGCCGCTGCAGTACCGCTTCCTGCATGGGTACCACGCATGCGCACAATACTTCATTTTATTTTCGTAATTTATTTTTAGCTGCTTTATTAACTTCATGTGCAGAAGAGAGCTCGAGCATAATAGTATTTTCCTAAATAATTTGATATAATTTGAAATAATTTGAATAATTTTAATAAAGTGCAAACGTTACAACAATAGGCGAGGTGAAAGGGGAACTCCACCGATTTTTCAAATTCCTCCCCGTGTGTGAGATGTAATCAGAGTGGTTCGGATGTCTTTACAGTGGTGGTGATAGGAACCAGATGTCGACATGACTACAACACAAATATAGACATTTTATTTACTATCCAGAACCACCAGTGAACCTACACGAGTCTTCTGAGTTTATATGGAATGTTGATGATGGAAAATAGTGGAAAATCTGAAATAATAAGTTTTCTTTGTTTTGCCTTACATGTATCATTTAGGCTATAAATGCCTGCAACTATTTTATTTAATTTTTGATTTTAGTTAACTTGTAATATGAATTTGTTATGTTTTAGCTATTGTTTTACTTTTGTTATTCATTTTATTTTATTATTGTTTATTATAAGTTATTGGTTTACATTTTCCACTAATTTATTTATTTATTTCATTAATTATGTTATCGTTTATTGATTTTTTAAAAAAACTTTTTTACTATTAAATTTACTATTTTGACTATAATTACTTTTTAAGGCATTTAATATGGTCTTACTATCTGATTTGTCAATCCCTGTTTTCTGTATCGGCTCGGCTACATTGTAAATGAGAATGTGCCTCAATGTATCCCGAGTTTAAATAAAGCCTGATTGATTGATTGATAGATTTTGAAAATATACATTTTGGGCCTAAATATAGTGCAAAAACTATCATAAACAGTGTCTCAGTCATCAGGCAGTGAATTCATAACCATTTCATGTAGGAACTTTCTGTGAGGGAGCTTTTAGAGGTGGATGTCTTTTTTCCATCCTTATATATCTTTTTTTCTATCCATACAAAAATATTACTGGTGTGTGTATAATGGAAATTCTGATGGTATAAAAGAGACTAACAAGGCTCTTGTTTATAAAAATTTGCCAATGCCAGTTTCATAGACACAGTGCAGCAGGAAATTAGGGTCACCAAAAGTTAGCAGTGGCCTTAGTTTAATCATGTATGCTGATGGTAAGATTGACACTCTGCACAATTATTATAATGTGTTCATGTAGCATAGTGTACACAAACAAACACAAACAACAGACTTCATACTGCAGTACATACAGCATACAGTAGACCTCCTGTCTCAACCGCGTAACCATCAGTGTTCATCTTTTAATGCAATTTACTAACAATTATACAAAGGTATTACTCATATAGTGATAGATCTGAACAATATGGGCATCTACTTGCAATCTAAGTGGTTATTTTCAGTGAATTCCGCTCTGGGTCTTTTCTTCTCAAGAGCATCAGCAAATTCATTTTTTGAGCTTGAGAAAAAACTGCCAGTTTGCAAACTCTGTGTTTTTTAGGTTATGAAACATATCACTCAGTCCCCAAACCATACAGTCTGCATATGAAAACCAAGCTAGAAAACCAGCCTCTTTAAAATTCAATGTTTATGTGCAATGAAAAACATATGCCCACCTATCCAGCCTACAGCAGTTTAGCCCCGCCCACTCCTGCCGAAGTTATAAGGAGTGTTTCAGTTCGCTCTGCCTTTTGAACGAGGTGCTATACAGAGCAGCCAATCTGAACAGAGCTCATTTACATATTTCAGTCTTAAAGGCACAGTGACAAAAGGAGAGATGGGAATATGGTCATGTAATAATGAATTAGGACTGTTTGTGCTACTGAAACCAGAGACGTTATAAATTGGTTCACTGGTTGAAATATGAATGAGAACACTCATAACGCTCCACATGGCACCTATTGTGGAGAAAGTCCCGCCCTTCAATAAAAAGAGCCAATCGGATTGCTGGTTACGTTGCGAGCGGAGATATTGTGGCATGAGTGGGGAAAGCCTGTGCAACCTCAGCAGCCAGAACAACCTGATAAATTACTGAGCCAAACACTACAAAATATTTATGAAGTTTCTGTCAGATTTTATCAGTGATTTAAAATCTGTGTTTGAAACGTTAATTTGACCTTCAGTTTGGAGTATTTTAGTCTCTCCTCCTTCAGAGACAGAGGAGTCTGGTCTTGCATGGCTGGGAAAAACTACCAGACTTTCCTATAAAAAAACTTTGCATAAATCCACACAAATCATGACATTACAAGAAAATGTTAAATATGGGCCCTTTAAGACAATGTTGAATAAAACAGAGTATTAATAATATTTTAGCTCTTGCAATTTGCAAGATTCCATTTTTCAATTTCGATATAAAATAAATGAATCTTTCAAACCTGCTTTGTACAGCAGTTCAGTCCAAAATCATCAGCGGTGCCCTCTTTAAAACGATACAGCACTGATCAAAATAATACAAATAAATTTAACATAAGTGATGTCAATGTTTATGTACGTCAATACGTTTGTTTGTCGGTTTCCAAACCTCTCCTCGAGGAAGCCCAGTATTATTTATAGATATCATCCAATACCTGTTTTATCTAATCAGTGCTTCATTAAATTAAATCAGGTGCTGCTGATGGAATTGAATGAATCCATGTGATGGCTGGAGGCATCCAGGAGGAACTGGGAGCCAAGTTTTGTTTATTTGCATATATTGTAATGATGGTTTTACAAGCAAAATGCACTTATTGCTGTGAACAAAGGCTTTACATGATGAGCACAGGTGCCTAAAGACTTCTGCACAGTGCTGTATGTTCAAATCCATTACATACTTCACTAAACTGAAACGGTTAATATGACACACACAGACACGGCAGAGCTGAAATAAATCATTAATCAGAGAGTGTAGCCTGGTAGCTTGTTGACCACCAACTCTGAGATGGGTCGATATTTATTCTGAAAGCTCAGAGAACCCAGTTCATCTCTCTGCTCCTCGGAATCTGTGGAGGACACAGACTCCAACATGGAGTCTTCAGAGCGTTGAGAGCGTTCTCCCACCGGTGTTTCAAAGATCCTGGACGCTGTTGGACTCTTCAGCGAACTGCCATGTGACTCAGAGTTTCTCTGTCCAGAAGTTCTAGAGAAGCTGTCGTCCGATGATGTACTGCGAGCGAAGTTCTGAAGGTGAGGCCTGATCGAGTGGGTCGCTCTGAGGGACCGTTTTGGAGACGTCTCTGCTTTAACCGGAACGGGATGAGGTTTGTTTCTCTGGGAGGAGCTGTCCGAGCTCACGTTGCAACTGGAGACTCGTGTTCTTGGTGGTCTGTATGGCTCAGGACTGCTGAGAGGGTCTGGTGATGCATCAGTGGGGTCCAGACTGGTGAAATCATCCTGGTAGTCATCTGGCTGTGGACTGTCATGACGGGAAAGTGAGCTGTGAGAAGGACTGGAGGGCTTTCCATCACTTTGAATGGAGCTCCGAAAGTCAGGGCTGGTTTGAATTACATGAGGTTGGCTGTTGCTCACTGAGTCATACGCTTTGTGGTCGATGTTTTGGCCGAGTGCACTGGGAACGCGGACTTGCACCTCTTTGTCTGCCTTATCAGGGACGTCTTTCACCGCTGGTGACTTCGTTTGCTTGCCAGGAGCTGGACTCCTTTGTGAACGTGACCTGTTGGGCAGTGTTTCACCAGATGCATCCAAATATGTGTTGAACGTCTGGCTATGCTCTGGTTTAGGTTTGGGAGATCTTTTTCTCATTTTGAGCTCCTCAGTGCACTCACGGTGCCTCGTCGTGCCCGGCTTGATCTGCTTAAGTCGGAGGCGGAAGCTGTGAGTTAAGCCGTACCTAAGCTTGCGCTCTGGCCGTGACCTTTCATGGTGGCTTTTTCCATCCGCCAGAGAAATGAGAGGAGGCACGCGGCCTGGAAGGTTACCTCGTCTACATCCAGGTCCAGATGGTTTCAGACTCTCAGTCTGCGGTTTCCTTGAACTAGGAGAGCTTTCCTGTGCAGACATGAAGTTTACCGGGTGGCCTGATAACGGCTGCTGCATCTGGCTACTAAGATGCGAGAGTTCAGCAAGAAGAGCATTGAGCAGAGGCAGCTGCCTGACAGCATCCGTGAGGACGGACGGCACAGTTTGACTTTGCTGTTGGCCCAAACTCGTAGGTGACCTGACCTCTTTGGGCCTCATTGGTTTTTGAGGAGCTGGTTCCATTTGGAAAGACTCACTCCCATCGTCTGTATCCTCGCCGTGGAGATCCACCTTCCTGAGATGTTCCTCAAGGTCTTTCATCCTGTAACCAGCACTCTGCTGTCGTTTCGCCCTGCTGGCGCTGTAAAACAGAGGAGGAGGACAAAAAGCGCCGCACAGTTCGTCAGATTTCACTTGGGCATCTAGAGATGTTGCATCTTTCTGTCTGAGATGTTCAGTTTGGGTAGCAGCATGAAGAGTTTTTGTTCCAGACGGTTTTACTGTTGCTTGCGAAACATCTCCAGCACGGCTGTCAGCGCCCGGCGGCTGAATTTCATCGGTTCCACTGTTTACATTCCCCTCGGCTGGGGCACATTCTGTGTTGTTTGGCTTTGGAGGAGCTCCACAGGCCTCGCTCTCAGAGACGTGAGGAATTGCACTCGCTCCCAAACTCACAATTTTGCAGGAAAGAGAAATAGTTCCTATAGTTTCACCCATGAGGTTTAAAATACGACTGCTAAACTTCTCCCCATGAGCTGCTGGAGTCCAAATGCCGTGTTTTTCCACGGCTGATTTAACAGAGCCCGTCAGATCTGAGAGGGAGATCAGTGAACTTCCTAACAGTTTGGGAATCTCACTGTTTACATCCAGCACCATGACGCACAGAGGAGCGCTGCAGAGCTGGCTGTGGAGAGAATCCAGACTGATCTTAAACAAGCACGATTTGCCTTTATTGAAGCAAAAACTGTCCCCGCTGGATTCTGACAAACCTCCCGGCTCGAGTTTCGGCTCGGACTGGAGATTTTCCGAGCGGTAAATCAGCAGCGTTGGGAAATCCAGCAGCCGAACTCCGACTGCGGGCTGCGCTTCATCGGCTTTTACCCTCCCAGCGGCGTCAAAGCGAACTTTCTCCACAAACAGCTCGAAGGAGAACAGAGTCTGAGCGCCCGCCATGCGCTCTGCTCTCCAGCCGAGCGGCTCTGCGCGACAAATCCGATATAAATCTGAATAAAACAGCTAGTTTAGCGCTGAATCCCGTTATCTCCTAGCAACAGCGGCGCGGTCGCGTTTTCATACGGAATGAGGCAGCAAGGGTCGATGGGAAATGTAGTCCGAACATGGACTGTCTACTTTAGATAGTCTATATGCTTTAATCTTTACTACGGATGTTTTTCAGTGTAAATTTTAATGATTTTTACACACTGTATCTGCTTTAATCTTCCCTATGAATGTTATTTAATGTAAAATGACCTGTTTTTACATAATTTACCCACTTTAATCCTTATTATGAATGTTATTTAATGTAATATACCCTGATTTTACATACTGTATCTGCTCTAATCTTTACTACTAATGTTATTTAATATGAAAATGTCCTATTTTTACACAATGTATACACTTCAATCTTTATTATGAATGATATTTAATGTAAAATGACCTGTTTTTACATAATTTACCCACTTTAATCTTTATTATGAATGTTATTTAATGTAATATATCCTGACTTTACATACTGTATCTGCTCTAATCTTTACTACTAATGTTATTTATTATAAAATATAAAAATAGAACGATTATTTTTACATATTGTATCTGCTCTAATCTTTACCATAAATTTTGTTTAATGTTAAATGCCTTGATTTTACTTGCTGTAACTGTGTTAACATGGTAGCCTATTCTTCTGTTCTGTTCTGGCAGCAATATGTGAAAATATTGGGTATCTCGAAATAATGACTTATTTTCTGCAAATATTGGCATAAAATATTTTAAATATTGATGTAAAGTCTGAAGTAATAGCTTGAAATATTGACTTAATATTCCTAAATAATGTCTTATTAGCTTCAAATAATTAGTTTAAAAATGGACTTTTTTCTAAATTGCTTTTGAGATACTATGTTAAAGTGATGTGTTATTCAATTTCAGGAAAGTACGTCATTATTTGAAAATGCTAAATCAATATTTTCAGGAAATACGTCATTATTTTGATAAGAGGGTGTTTTTTGTTTGGTGGGAAGTGGGCCTTATTACTTTAACCTGATGTCTGAGTCTTAACAGTATTGAGAAAGTTTTGGCCCAAAAATGTTCCTTTTAAAGGGGGACTTCAAAACATAAAGAGACAGAAAGACGGTGATGATAGGAACCAGATGTCCACCTCTAAAAGCTCCCTCACAGAAAGTTCCTACATGAAATGGTTATGAATTCACTGCCTGATGACTGAGACACTGTTTTAGGATAGTTTTGAGAAGATTTTGCTCCTAACAAATATTTTAAAAATCCATTCACGGTGCAGGGCAGGTTTTTTCCCATCAACACACACACTCAAACACACACACACACACTCAGACAACACGAGGAAGCTTGAATAGTCAATAAAGTAACTACATTTCTCTAGCATAAACCATTTCACAACAAACCACCCTGAGTCACTTTGTTTGCATCACAGACACTGAACTATGCTCAATTCCCGCTTTAACATTAGCCTATAGCTAGCTAGCTATTTAAAGGGGAATTCCACCAACTTTCCAAAACATCTGCGTGATTAAATAGTTAAGATGTAAACAGAGTCATTCTGCGGAGCCCTGCTGCTGACATCCCATAAAATAAAAACAATGCATGGCCACGATATAGTAAGGTGTGAGAATGAGATAATTGGCCTTGGCCACAGCTTAATAAGGCATGATCTCGTTCCCACGCCTTACTAAGTGATGGTCACACATTAAGATCTCTTTCCCATGCGTTAATACAGAGTGGTCCCCTTTATTTATATATATACTGGATATCAGCAGCAGCTCTATGGGCTCTACGGAGCGGGAACGACTTAGTAAGGTGTGGGAACAAGATAAATAAGTTGTGGCCCAACTTAGTAAGGTGTGGGAATGTGATCATGCCTTATTAAGCTGTGGCCAAGGCTTAATTATCTCATTCCCATGCATTACTATGTCGTGGCCATGCATTAGGATCTCATTCCCATGCCTTATGTTGTGGCCATGACTTAACTATCTTGTTCCCATGCCTTACTAAGTCTTTGCCACACTTTATTATTATTTATACACTAATACTTTTGCTGAGTGTTTTCTCCACCAAGGAGCTTCTAGAGAAACTTACCGAGTCAGAACTGTTCACAGTGGTGGTGATAGGAACCAGACGTCCACCTCTAAAAGTGAGGCAAAATAGTCCCCAAAGAAAACTTATTATTTACGATTTTCCACTATTTTCCATCATCAACATTCCATATAGACTCAGAAGACTCGTGTAGGTTCACTGGTGGTTCTGGATAGTAAATAAAATGTCTATATTTGTGTTGTAGTCATGTCGACGTCTGGTTCCTATCACCACCACTGTAAAGACATGTTGGAAAATTTGGAAAATGGGTGGAGTTGCCCTTTAATAACATCTCCCCGCTATGTTGCATTATTAAACGCAGCTCAGGTGGAATGTAACAGACATCTGAGCGAGTGTTTCTGGGGGTCTGGCGTCGTTTCAGCGAATCATCGCGGGAACTGGAGTAGAGAAGGTGGAGCCTCGGAGCGGCTCCGGGCTCGGAAGGGAAGCGGCATCAGTCGGATGGAGTGCGCGGCGGGGAAGGGAAGGGAAGTGAGGGAAGGACGGAGGGGCTGCCAGCCTACTCCGCTCAAGCTGTGGCACATTTAAAGGAATTATAATACCCTGCGTGGTCACTCCTGCCTGTGATGCTGAAGGTAAGGCCACTTCTTTGTTCAGCTGACCCTTCAGGCAGCATCCGCGCAGTGATAGTGAAGCGCGGCGGTGCTGAAAGTTACCTTTTGTTTGTTGTCGTGGCGTGAAAAGGTCCAAAACCCTGGAATTAAAACAGCTGAGTGCTTCTGCTCGCCTTGTTCTGAAGTGTTGGCCAGCGTGTCTTTTGTTTTGCGTGATGCTCAAGCCTGCGTTAGATCTGTTATTATCATTATTGATTATTATTTTATTTATTATTTTGCAGAATAAAAAGGAGAATATGAGTTTGAGCTCTTTTGCTGAGGGTTTTCTCCACCAAGGAGCTTTTTACGAGGCTGAAGTTGGCTTCTTGTTGGAATTTTCCGTTCCACCTTAAATGGTGCAGCAGTTACATTCTGGCGCCTCGGGCGCCAGAATGTAACTGCTGCACCATTTAAGGTGGAACGGAAAATTCCAACAAGAAGCCAACTTCAGCTTCGTGTAAAGAGTAGCAAACATCCATCCATGCTTAAAGCTTCTTAAGAGCATCCAGCATCCCACTTCTAATGATCATAGAAGTTGTTTATATTCAGCATCACTTTGTTTTTGTTGTTTTTTACTCGTGCAAATACATTTTTCTACTTCTTTATTCAGTCGTAAGACGTGTGGACACCCAGCATGAAGAGCTCAGCCTGCCAGCACACACATACACACACTTAAAAGCAAGAAATCTGAGCTGTGAGCAGTTAAGAGAAGCTTTATGGGTAACAATGTGCAGCCTTTGTAGTGGAGAGGGTCGGGCATGGAGCTGAGTCGCCACTAGAGGGCTCTTCTCCCACGTTCTGGAATACTGTTGGAGATCTGCTGAGGTTGTTGGGCCTTGGAGGTCAACCAAGTGATCTTGTAACCAAACCAGAGATGATGCTTGCTGGTTCCCTCTGGCTGAGGCTGGGTCACGCCTGGTGGGCTACCTGCTGAAGCCCCACCTGGTCACGTGATCCAGATTTTAGTTGTAATCACGGTAACGACTTGCTTGGATAAGACAAAGAGACGCACAAAGAGTCTGTTCACCTGATCCAGGCATGGAAAACTGGGAATGTTTCAGTGTGACAGTAACTAAAGGGGAATTTATCCTTGGGAATGGCTCTGCTTAGAACCATGGGTTCTATATAGGACCGTTTGCATGATTAAATGGTTCTTTGCATGGTGAATTGGTTCTTCAGATTGATGGAGAATGTGTTGTATGTTTTGAAAATGGGTGCTAGAGCATCAAAAAGGGTTCTTCTGTTGTAACAAGCTTGACATCGTAGCAATTGAAGAACGCTTTTTGGTGCTATATAGAACTGTATGCAAGATATTCTCTCTCAGTCTAAAGGAAGCAATAGAACCTTTTTGGTGATAAATAGAACGCTTTTCAGAAAGATTCTGTACCATGTAGACCACATTCTCCATCAATTGGAAGAACCATTTCATGATGCAAAGAACCCTTTAATCATGCAGAAGGTTCTTTGAGTGTTCATGGTTAAATGTAGAAACATTTTCTTTGCTAAAGAACTCTTGAAGAACCACCATTTTTAGGTGTGTATATAAAAGGTATACAAGCCTGACATTTATAAAAATAGAAGAATCATTTTTAATGTTATATAGAACCTTATTCAAAACGGTTCTATATAGAACCATCTATAGCACATTCTCGATCAGTCTGAAGAACGCTTTCACGATGCAGAGAACCCTTTTATCATGCCAAGAGTTTTTTTTGGGTGTTCATAGTTCTGTATAGAACCATTTTACTAAAAACCCTTGAAGAACCATCATTTATACGTGTGTATATAAAACGTATATAAGCCTGACATTGTAAAAATAGAAGAACCCTTTGTGGTGCTGCATAGAACCATTTTTAAAGCACACAACACATTCTACATCCATCTGAAGAACCATTTTGCGATGCAGAGATCCATTAATCATGCAATGGTTCTTTTGAGTGTTTATGGTTCTATATAGAAACATTTTCTTTAATAAAGAACCGTTGAAGAACCACCTTTTTTAAGAGTGTACATAAAAGGTACACAAGCTTGACATCGTGAGAATACAGGAACCTTTTTTGGTGCTACGTAGAGCCATTTTCAAAACGTACAACCCGTTCTCCCTGAAGAACCATTTCACCATGCAAAGAACCATTTCACCATGCAAATAGTCCTATATAAAACTCATGGATCTAAAAAGAACCATTTCCTTTATGCATATTATTTTTATATTTTTCTTTTATTTTATATCTTCCGCTTATAGTCTGTGTGATTGTGTGTCTGTGTGTCTGTGTGATTGTGTGTCTGTGTGTCTGTGTGTGTCTGTATGTGACTGAAACACTCCTTATAGCTTTAACATTAATGGGCGGAGCAGAACTGCTGTTGCCTGAATGTAATATATTGGTTTTTGTGACATCACAAAAGCAGTGACTGTATTTGCAGCTTAAATTTCCATATATAAACCGTGCAGACGGTGGAGTGGACACTACATTCTGAGTCTTTAAGTACATCAAACTCTTTTCCGCACCGTTTTCCTGGATATGGGCCCTTTAATGTTGCACTGTTTGGCGCTGTGTGTTACACTAAACAGCACTGTAGTCAAATCACTGTACTAACTGGGACTTTATTTATACTGACTGTGTGTGAGGTTTGGGTTTGGAAGGCGTCCTCCTGTTGATGAGAAGAAAGACTAACAGCGCTCTCTGTTTCTGAAGAAGAACCCCCTCCGGTTCCACGTTGTCATTGAGCTGTCATTGTTATTTGGATCAGCATGTAAAGAACACATCAGAGGCCACGAGCGCTCTGTCTTTCAGAGTAGAGGGTAGAAACTGTGCCTGATATAAAGCGTTCCGCGCTGTGCCTCTCAAAAGACTGAGGGGAGCTGATTTTCCTGCAGCTCAGATCCAGCCGGAGGCTGTTATCTTTCAGATGACTTAGAACAGTGTCTGCTGCACTGCTAACCTTCCCAAGTCCTCGCGTGGCTCGTATCATAGCTAATTAACCAAGAAACGTCCGTGTTGTTGGGGACGTCCGAAATGAAACAGCCTGCATTTCTCAGAAGACTGGATATCAGATACGTCTGTCACTATCATTACATTTTAGTGGACATTTGATGGTGATATAATTGTGATTAACAGTTAAATTGTCTTCTTTGGTTCACTGTGTGCAGCTATTACAGTTCAAGCCTGAAGTGTCGCTCATAATCGCTCACCGCCGCCCTCTAAAGGCATCATCAACAAATATCAAATAAACAAACGTAGCTCAGCGCCGCCCTCTAAAGGCATCATCAACAAACAACAAATAAACAAATATCAAATAATCAAATATGAACTAAACAAATATCAAATAAACAAATGTCGCTCAGCGCCGCCCTCTAAAGATGTCATTAAGAAACATCAAATACACAAACGTCGCTCAGCGCCGCCCTCTAAAGGCGTCATTAGCTCAGTTTTACTATCGTCTTGTTGTAAAGGTCTTGAATAGAACATCCAGCTGCACTCTTCATTTTTTGGCAGGCCTCTCTAGGAACCAGTTTCCTATTGGGACGTCGTGTACAATTCAGAGTCGTTTCTCAGCTTTAGTGATGGTTCCTATTTTAACAGGTGGAATTTGTTGGGAAAGGAACTGAAACTGTTTGTTTTTAAACGATGAACATTTATTTATTTGTCAGTTAACTGTTTTCATGGTCAGTGGTTTGTTAACTTTAGGCCCAGTTAAATGGCAGATTTCTGTGTTTGTTTACTAGAAGGTCCGGCCGTTTCATTGTCTGTTGTGTTTAGACTTCCTCATTGCTGATCTCCTGGGAGAATAAGTGATGTCCTATTGCCTGCAGGACTGTATCTCTTCCCCTTTCCTGCTCTGTGACATGGTCAGTACAGAAGGATGTTTGGTTCACATGAGAAGCCTCTACAGGGTCTTGCACAATGAAGGGAAATAAAACTTTGTTGAGGGGGATTTCTTTTAAAAATAACTCTGCTGAGAGCCGCGGCTAGCTTTCTGACACCGAAAGAAAAAATAACAATGTACTGTTTATATACAGGACATTCAGCTGGAGAATGACCAAGTCACGGATTTGAGCGCTGTTGGAATTTAGCTGTTTTGTCTAGGACTTGACTAACTGAATGCAGATACACGAGGGCTCGAATCCTCCAGTACTCATTTGTTATGTTGGTGTTTTGTATTTGGAAGCTTCGTCTTTTTGAGCCATAAAAATTGAAGCCTAAAAGAAATTTCAGGCAGAACAGCTATTGTTAAAATATGGAGAATAAATCACAGCTGGATTAGTTGAATGCTTTATAATCTCGTGCCGTGCGTCCTCTTCACCTCACCTCACCACAACAAACTGCTCCACTTTCCACCGAAGCTGAAAGACCAGACACAGCTCAGAGCAGGAGTGGCCAAAATATAACATCACAATACACAGTATGTATCTCAGTATTTATTGAGGTTTCATTCGTTGGAAAAGGAAAAAACAGAACCAGTAGTGCCACATTTAAACGTACTGTGAAGAACCATGAATACAGTGATTAGTGTTCAGCAGTCTGCTGCACTAAATACAACTGAACAGGTCTAGTTCTGCTCTGCTTGTGATGAAACAGGCAGTTGTTCTGTTTTGTTTAGGTGCTGATATGCATGATATTCTCAGATAAGCGTAATATGTCACGATCACGATAACAGTTACAGTCCTGATAGCAAGTGGGCCACTGTCGGCCCGCTGATGGCAAAGCTGGTGGTCCCCTGGCATTTTGCTCAGCATTTTTTCATGCGGCCCACCAGTGTTTAATCAGAGTAATAGACAAAATCCCACTTATCATCACTCATTTTCCCCTCACAGTCCAATTTACTGATTTTTCCTTCCTTTCTTTAGTTACACTTTGTAAATTAGTTTAGTAAACAATTTCAGTCCAGCACAGACAGCTACAACATTTTCTGTGAAGTCGTTTTATATCAGGCCTGGTCATTATTTTTTCTCAGTTCCCAGATAGCGAGCATATATCAGTCCG